AAAGTCGAACAGCATTAGATTGCCCCCTACAGGTCAATCCACAAAAGCACACTCTACAACACTTTAATATACAAACATTAAAAGAAATACATCAACCATATAACATTCTATACACACACTATCCAGTGTGTATAGAATGTTAAATGTCTATCTTGTCTATCCAGTAAACACAGCAACCACGCGTGTTACCTCACACCACTGCACCCGTTGTGAACACTGCAGACTGACAGCCGGACCACCATACACACACACACACACACACACACACACACACACATAGGACTCTGGCTAATGCTGGCACCCCAATTCTGAAGGGAAAAGAAAACAATGTGGGAAACAAGCAAACACACATACACACTTTCTAAATAATAATAATGAACGCTCATCACATGCTGCCAGAAGGAATTAGTTAATCAAACAATAATGGAGGACGCTCACTGGCCATTACCAGTCACCAGCACCCCAACATCACTTTAAAGCGTCGCCCCAGGCTTACATTACAAAAGAAACATTCATTAAAACACATCAAAAAACATTCAGAAAAGAAGAAATAATAAAAAAACAAAAATAGCAAACACAAAGAAATCCACCATAATAGTGACAAACAAATAGCTATTCGCCACCGTTACCCACCTCAAGTACCAATCTACCTGAAACCACTAAATTTAAATGTGTCACCTCAGGCTGCAAACGCGCTATCGTTCCGAAGATTGGTTGAAGAGAACAGCACACAAAGGGAAACGATCTATTCCGCCCAGAAGCCTTCCAATACAGCCAGTTAATGACTCATTCAGGTAGTAGCAATTCATTCAACCTAAAACCCTCGCATAAAGTCTCACAGTGCTCCACAAAGACTTTTATATCCGCAAATGTGACCGGTCTTCGTTTAGCTCTGCGTTGTGTTGGTAGATGAACAAGACCGGGCTACAGAAATTACTCAAGCCAGATTTTATTCTGCATGAATAAAAAGACAACTGAATCAAAACAAGCTTGAATCTGTGGCCTTCTCTTGCTATTGTAACATCAGCCTCTCTTCAGTCGCGCTTACCGCAAACTGCAACACATTTTGCAGTTTTCATGTTTCACATATCAAAATCAATAGTTTGCTGTCCCAAATATATCTAAAGAAATCGGAAGACGTGCTTTCAAATTCAAAGCCCCTTCTGATTGGAACAGCTTACCTTGTTCCTTAAGGTCCATCTCTTTCTTTTCACTCTTTAAGTCAGCCCTTTTAACTTACTTGCAATTCTGTGATCAATGTAAATGTTTCCCTGGTGTTTGACCTGTGCGTATTTATGTGTTTAGGTATGTATTTTTGTATTCGTATGTATATATGTAGGTTATATATTTGCTTGGTTTGGTGGCTTCGTCAAATATGGTTCTCTCCTGTAATATTATATATTTTTTAATATTACCTTAATATCATACTATATTGTTTATGTGAATACGCTTTGGACAGAGGTCGGACAGGTTGGGGTGGTTGGTTGTGAGGAAGAGCTTTAGTATGTATGAGCGTCTAAGTTTTTGGTGATATCTTGAGGACCCCCTCGAAAACGAGATGTTCCATCTCAAGGGGTTATCCTCAAATAAAATGAAATGAAATGGTGTTCCAACACATTTCATCCAAAATAAATAAATAAATAAAGCATTTTACATATATTCAAAACAATATTAACAGACGCATGATTGAGAACATACCTGCATGAATAAAAAGACAACTGAATCAAAACAAGCTTGAGTCTGTGGCCTTCTCTCGCTTATAACATCAGCCTCTCAGTGAAAGGCATCATTTTAGCCACTGAGCTTGCACAATTAATGCTTAATGAACTCTCTTCAAAAATACATGCTTCACACAAACTTCATACAAGTTTGAATAAGATTAAAGTGCATTAAAGAACAAAATTACATGTTTTATTAAAATAAACAAAACTTATATCAAACTTTTTAGACGGAGCTTCAACACAAATCACCTCTCTTGAGTCGCGGTGTGAAAACAGGGCAGGTGTCTTGGTGAGAGATCAGTGTTAGCTTATATATATATCCACGTTAGCCGACGATAGCCTATGTATAACACTATGCTCAGATCACAATATTGTACAGATTATTATCATGTATCAGGCCAGGGTTAGTATTTAGACCCTTACCTGCATGTGTTGTGTTTGTCAGCCATTAGGAGACCGTTTCCAGAGGAAGAGGGACTTTATAAAGGCTTTGAATGGACCCATTTTGCTGACAATGAATACAAAAGTAATCACAATCACAACTGTCTTACTGTATAAAAACTTAATATGGAAACAGCCAACACAAACATTAAAGTGGTTTTGTACAGATTGAAAATGAATTATAGAACATAATATATTATTTTTATAATAATAATACGTTTCGGCTGCAGACTAATAACAAACACATAAATGCATTACATTACAAGTTTATGTAGGATATGTTCATGAATTAAATTAAGACAAGGCACATTTTGTAAAACAGATGTACAATAAGAGATCTCTGACAGATCCATGACCGTCATGTTTCCCACCGGTGGCAGAACCACACGCTGACGACGGACCAGGTGACCCGATGAAGGAGCTGTCTGCACCGAAGGAACCGCACCAGCCCGGAGTCTCTCTTGGCTCTTTCTTTGGCATCCCATGTTAAACTTCATCATATCGCTATACTGCTAGCTAGTAAGCGCAGTTAGGCTATGTGCCACTTGACGTTACACAAAACACAAACTTGTCTTAGCTAACGTTAACTACGCTTATACGTGTTACTATGTTTGCAAACAGTAATGTTAACATTAGGGACATAATGTTATTAGACCCAGCATAATTAGCCAACGTACTGACCTTCTCCATCAGGGTCCACTCCAGACGGCTGAGTTTCTTCTCCATTATCAACCCTGCAACAGGGGCTTGTTGATCAGCTGCCCGACAGTTCATATCTTAGGTACGTTCCAGCGGGTGGGGCAGTCGGAGATGAGCTGGACTGGTTTGAGACCAAGGAGCTTCTGCTTGGACTCCAGGAGGTAGCTGTCTGTAGGCGAGTGCTTGAAATGCTGAGCGGCAGCCTTCAGGCGACTGACTGTTGTTGCAACGGGACGCTCTCCAAGCCCCTTTTTGCTGCCAGGTTAATTGTGTGAGCCATGCACGGTATATCCGTGATCCCCAAGTACCTCTCTACAGCATTGACATAGTTGGTCGCATTGTCTGTTGTGATGGCAAGCACAGACTCCCGCTCCACGCGTGGTACTCTCGTAGAATACTGTCGATGCATGTGGAAACATTCGCTGCTGTGTGAGCGGTTTGAAGCTCAAACGTGTCCAGGACGACATTTCTCATCTCCCAGTCCTCGTCGATGAAATGGGCTGTGACCGTAACATAGGACTCAGTAGCCAAACAACTCCACCCATCAGTGGTCAGTGCAAGTTTTTCTCCACGCAGCGTTTCCCTTATGCCATCTTTGGTTGTGTCGTACAGCTTCGTTATTTTACCATTCATGGTCCTGTAGCAGGGGATTTTGAATCTTGGCTCTAGCTCGTGGACGAAAGCTTGAATCCCGCTCCCATATTTCACCATACTGGGCATTATATTTTTGCAAACGAACCGTGTCAGCAAATCTGTCGCTCTATTTTGAAGGGCATAGGGGAGGCCTTGTGAAGGAGATAGCATGGAGTCGATTCTGGCCTGCCTCACCCCTGATCCCTCAACCTCCTACTCTTCCAGCTTGCCGGGATGTAGTGTTGACAGGTTGGCTCTCATGTTGCTGGTTGTCGCGTGGTATGTGAGTTTGGTTCTACATATTTTACACATCACTTTATCCTTACTCGTGATTTTTCCCTGTTTCTTTGGGAACCCAAAGTAGCGCCACACGTTGCTTTTCAAATTGTTCGCGATTCACAAATTCACCTGGCGTGAAAAAGCCTCGGACCCTAAATTGAAAAAAATAAAACGTTTACAAGCAAAAATATTTACAAAAAATAATGTCCATAACAGGTTACAATATTAAAGGCTGCCTAATATTCGTTCGAATATCATTCTTTTTTTAAATATTCGAATTATATTAGAATAACGAAGTTCGGAGTCAAAGCCCTAATATATATATATATATATACATATACAGATTAGAAAAAAACACTTGCAAATCTTATTGCTACATGGTCCAGTCTGTCCATTTCTTTTAGAGCAATCAAGCACAGGTGCATTAATGCTGATGTTAGAAGCCGTGGGTTGAGTATCTGATTGTAGATGAGCATGTTTTTACATCCTGTAGGATCTTTGTCACTTGAAACACAAAGCTGATTATACTGTGTGTGTGTATGTGTGTGTCTGAGAGATATTCAGACCCATATTCAGTAATAATTCAGTTACACATTATGTTGATGGTCCACTTTAGACATTCTACTAGCTATAAATAATTTTGCAACTACATGTAAACTAACTCTCATTAGAGTATTAGTAGGCTGTTCGATTAGAGTTCGGGTTAGTAGAATGTCTAAAGTGCACCATCGAAATAAAGTGTTATCAATAATTCCTTTAAAGTGATGTGTGTAGCCAAGTATGCTGTCCTATACTCAAAATCTGTTCTCGGCATTTCACTCCAAGTGCACACACACAGCAGTGAGTACTGAACACACACTCGGAGCAGTGGGCAGCCATTTTTTGCTTGCTCCGGGGAGCGATTGGTGGTTAGTGCCTTGCTCGAGGGCACCTCAGTTGTGGGTATTGAGGGTGGAAGAGTGCTGTTCATTCACTCCCCCCACCTACATTTCCTGCAGGTACTGAGACTCGAACCCACGACCTTCGGTTTAGCCTAAAAGTCTGACTCTCTAACCATTAGGCCACAACTGCCCCTTCTGCTGTTCATGTGTGTTTTTGTTCTGTAATCGGTTCTTTTTGTTCTTTTTATTTGCTGTTTTTATTCCTCTATTGTCCATTCTGTAACTGATGGGTTAGGGTTGATTTTCTGTCTCATCCCTCTGCTCCTCCTTGTGTTTGTGTCTACAGTCCTCCCTTCATCCATCTGTCATCTCAGAACAGAAGAAGTGTGCAGAGTCAGACGTGACCCTCATCTCCAGCCTTCTCTCAGTCTGTGTGTTGCTCTGGTGGAGAGTGTCGGGACCCAAGTGTGTTTTCATGCATTGGCTGCTGGTTTGATGCACGATGCCTCCCGCACAGCGTCAGCCGGCAGGAAGAGGGCGAAACAGGACACATCTTCATCTGCTGCTCTTCTTACTCAGTGTGCTACAAACACGTGGATACATTCAGATCCCTCCGGATTGTAAGTACCTTCCCATCTGGACTTTAAACCTCATTCAGAAAGACTAACAAAATGTGCGGTTACTTTGTCGAACTTTTAGCAGTTATTCCTCTAATAGCGATAAGGCGTCTCTGGACCAAAAAGCTGCGCTTAAACACAAAGCACAGACTACAGCCGACTGCAAACTAGCATGTGCACTCTGCGCCTGCATGTAGGAATTAACTGTCTATATCAGCAGGAATCAATAGTCTATTTTCTGAGATGTACGCAGATGTACAAAACGTAAACAAAGCAGCGCTTGCTTACCATTTTGAATATCAGTTATGTTGATAACTTTCTTCATTCTAAGCAAGCTAGTGTTGTTATGAAAATGTTCACGTTTGGAAAGCTCAAGTTGGATAACATAACATTAGATTAGTTGTTCTCTTTCATCACTCTCGCTTTCATTCTTGTGCACTGACTCTTTCGCTAAACTGAACATCCAATCAGAGTTCACACTCTCACCAACGGCCCCCGATGCCGGTTCATAATGATGAATAGGGCAAACTGCCACCAAAGTGAGCCCAACGAGAGCCAACGTGTGGAACACACCGCAAAAACTAGTCCGACAGATGCTCGCCGATGGCCCAACGGCTGACCATCGGCTTGGTGTGTCCCGGCCTTAAACAAAATCATGATTCATCAAGAACTTTTATACTAAAATGTATTTTAAAATTACGACAAAATGTAGGAATGACTGAAACCACACATATACAAAAACACACTCTGGGTGGCCTTATAGATGTGTAAAATTGTAACAGGTGCAAGACAACACCAGGATATTAGATTCAAGGATATTAGATTCAAGACAAGAGAGAGCAGGATCCAATTGCAGGTGATTTATTAAAAATAACCCACATAACAACATTGTGACGTCCCAGATCCGGCCCACATCTGGCACATGTGGAAAGATGATCTGGCCCACACGCAGCGTGGAATGACGGCCCTTGGGTGGCTCACTCCTGTTTGCCAGATCTGGGCCACAAGCAGGCCATAGCAATGCCACATGTCAGCCAAGTGCAAAGAAATAAACCAGAACTGGACCTTATCTGAGCCACAAAATCTGTGTTTATTAAATATGGAGTCATCTCAGCCTTAATAAGCCAGAATCACTAAAGGAAAGAAGAGAACAGAAAAAGAGACGAGCATAAATGTACTCGGTTACTAACGTAACCTCGGTTCCCTGAGAGTAAGGGAACGAGTTGCGTAGCTAAAACGCAGTGGGGAAACTCCTTTTCCTCGAAATATTAAAACAATAATTTAAAACGCAGTGCAGCTGCACAGCGAACACAGCAGAGCATCTAGCTTGTTCATTGGCTGTGCTGCGGCAACTGCACATCCAATGGCTGAGTGCCTCAGACGCGCGACCCAATCAACTGACTTGGCGCTGAGTACGTCTGAGCGCGCCTAAATGGGCATGGCCTAAGCCTATAAAGATCGCTCATTTCGGCCAATATATCAGGTTTAAATCGACTGAAGCGACACATCCTGACAGATTGCAATAGTGCGGCAGACTACGCAATACTCGTTCCCTTACTCTCAGGGAACCGAGGTTAGATTAGTAACCGAGTACGTTCCCTTTCGAGAACGGTAACTTCGTATTGTGTAGCTAATACGCAGTGGGGACGCAATGTAAAACGCAACACATTAGCAACTGGCTGAATAACTGGAGCCTAGGAACACCCCGAGGCTCAACAGAACAAGCCATAATCAGTCTCCCAGTAAGTGACACTAACCAGACAGATTAGGGTTTCATGAATAAAAACTGGGGCTCATATCCGTCCTAGGACTACTTGGGCTTATGGACATTAACATGCTAGTCAGATAAAAACCAGACACCGTTGGGTTAAATATCATGAGAGGACCCTGGCCTGCAGAAAAGGTACCTCCAGATTATAAAATCTGACAATGTGGACGGCGAGGACCAGCCGGCCGCTGCACAAATGTCTTGAATTGCCACACCACTGGACCAAGCCCACGAAGAAGCCATGCTTCTCGTGGAATGGGCTTTAGCGCCTATGGGACAACCTGGCCCACAGAGGCGTATGCCAGCGAGATGGCGTCCACTATCCATCTGAATGGAACCCTTTGGTGCGGCCGCCGAAATAAACAAAGAAATGTTCTGATTGCCTAAACGGCGCAAAACGCTCTAAGTATATTTTTAGAGCCCTAACGGGACAAAGTAGATTAGCCTCCCATCATTCTCCGAGGGTGGAAGTGCAAATAATGTAATAACCTGAGCTCTGAACGGGGTTGAGAGCACCTTAGGTACATAACCGTGCATTGGCTTGAGAATGACTCTGGAGCCATTTATCCCAAATTCCAGGCAGGAGGGGCTCACAGAGAGCGCCTACAAATCCTCCACTCGCTTGACTGATGCCAAAGGCAGCAGCGGAGCAGTCTTCAGCGAAAGTGGTTTGAGATCAACCAAATGTAGTGGTTCGAACGGGGGCCCCTTCAGGGCCCCAAGGACCATGGAAAGGTCCCACGCCGGTATAATGGGAGGCCTTAGGGGTTCAACCTCCTGGCTCCTTTGAGAAAACGAACGTTAAGGTCATTTATCCCCAGCGACTGACCAGCCACAGGAGCATGGTGAGCTGCCATGGCTGCCACATACACTTTGAGTGTGGATGAGGAGCGACCCGCATCCAAAAGCTCTTGTAAGAAGAGCACCAGCCAGCGAATACTGACCACTTCAGAGCATAGAGGTGTCCTGTAGACGGTGCTCTAGCCTCAGTGATGGTATTTAAGCCTTTTTCTGGGAGGTCCCCGGATACCCATTCAGGGGCCATACATGGAGGGCCCATAAGTCTGTGTGAGGGTGCCAGATTGTCCCGTTCGCCTGTGTGAGGAGGTCCTTGGCACTGGCCAGGGAACAGTGTCCATCCGTGCCAGCTCTGGAAACCACGCTTGGGTTTTCCAGAGGGGGGCTACTAGGAGGACTGAGCCTCCGCTCTCCTTAATCCGTCTGATGACCTGAGGGATCATAGAGACCAGCGGGAATGCATACAGCGGACGTCTGGGCCATGGGTGGGCCAGCGCGTCCCTGTTCTTTGAAAAGAACGTTGCACAGTGAGCGTTGTTCCTTGAGGCGAAGAGGTCGACCTCTGCCCTGCCGAACACATATTAGACTAACCGTCTGTGAGTTGAGAGACCACTCGCCTGGGGGAGTGTTGTCTCGAGACAGCATGTCCGCGCCCACATTTTGGACTCCTGGGAAATGCGCAGCTCTCAGGGAGCGCAGGTTGGCATGCGACCAAAGGAGGAGCTTTCTAGCCATGAAATACAGGCTGCCTGATCTGAGGCCACCCTGGCGATTTATAAAGGATACCACCGACATGTTGTTCATGCGGATCAAGATGTAGTGTCCCCTGAGGTCTGGCAGAAATGCATTCAGGGCTGACCAAACTGCTCTCATTTCCAGGCAGTTGATATGTAAGCTCTTTTCCTGGCTCAGCCAGAAGCCGGAGACAGGCTTGCCCTCGTGCAGCGCTCCCCAACCTTGGTTGGAGGCGTCTGTGAAAAATACTTTCCACCTGGAGGCCACACCCATAATTGCGTCCTGAGTATATAATGGCTGAGTATCATGGATCTGTGTGTCAATAATTCGGTCCTCGACTGAGACATAACGAGCCAATCGTCGAGATAATTCAGCGCGCGCACTCCTCGTTACCTCAGGGGAGAAAGCGCTGCGTCCATGCACTTCGTAAATGTACGGGGTGCCAGGGACAGACCGAATGGTAGGACTGTGTATTGATAAGCTCGCCCTTCGAAGGCGAATCTCAAGAATGGCCTGTGGCTGGGCGTTATTGCTGGGCGAGTGCCCCTCAGGAAGTTTCAGAGGCTTCTCGGTCTCATGGCCGCCGCATTGTCACTTGAGCCACGCTGCTTCTCACTGAGGTCTCGACGACCGTCTGAGAACGTGTGGGTCTGCGAGCGAATTGGAACGAGTAGCCTCACTTTATAATGTCCATAACCCAGTTGATACATCGGGGATGGCCTGCCAGGCCTGGGCCCTCATGGCTAGGGTTTGAACATATATTGGGGCTGGGTCGCCTAGCATAGGGGGACCTAATACCCCTGTGTTGTGTTTTGTGCACATGTTCTCTTTTGGGTTGTTTTGACAAACCTGACGGAGAGATAGAGTGTTAACTGGGGAGGGGTCGCCTAATGAATGGGGACCGATTATCCTGGTGTTGTGTGTTTGAAACACTCTTTTTGTCCTTATTTTCAGAGGAGCGTGTCTTATGACGGGCCTGGACTGGTTTGTGAACACTCATGTCTCGCTCTATCAGAGCTGCCGTTGAAGCAGTGACTATCTGTCGTGGCGCATGCTTCGGAGCGGGCGCGCTGACTGCAGTGATAATATGCGGTATCAGTGGCGCGTGCTTTGTAACGGGCTTGGTAACTGGTTTGAGAACATTTCCAGCCATCCATGAGCAGGGGGCTGTAGGGGAAACATTTATTTCTCGCTCTGTTTGAGCTGCTGTGAGAACAGCGTTTGTCTGCAGCGGTGCGCATTACAGAGGGCCCATTGACTGCAGCTATAGTTCGCTCTGTTTGTTTGTGTTTATCGGTTCCCTGATAAAGCAGCGTTAGTCTGCAGGGGGTGCATGCTTATAACGGGCCCTTGCTGCAGTTAAAGCACCACAGATACCTGAGCTAAGAAGGAACTGTGAGGGATGAGCGAGCTCTCTTTGAAGGTGTTGAATATCAACGGAGAAAATACTTTCCCTGGAGAAAGTGAGTCACGCGGGAGCGGCGGCGTGGACTCACTCGTTTCTGACGCTCATTGTTTGTCTGAATCATGCGGAGGACGCATGCAGCACAGCCAATGAGCGAGCTAGACGCTCTGCTGTGTTTGCTGTGTAGCTGCACTGCGTTTTAAATTATTGCTTCAATATTTCGAGGAAACTAATTTAGAGCCTAATCTCTGAGTTAGGTGTACTTTATTGATTAGAACAGTACTGTCCTTGCATAACATAATATTTTTTAGTATTTTCAATGTAATCAATGGATTTCTTAAAGTTGGTCTGAAACCAAAAGTTAGATATTTTTTTTATTTAGACACATAGACATCAAGAATCAGCCTGTGAATCTCAACAATGATGACAATTATAAAGCATATCGCAGTGCATTCTGGGTGCTACCAATCCAAACTCATTCATGGCTCCCATCATGCATTGCTGCATGAATAAATAATGAGGTTAATTTTCTTATTCATTTTATATATTCTTACTATTTTATTTCTGCTGTTTTTATGTGACTTTTTAGTCACTTGTTTTCTAATGGTCAGAGTTGATCTGTTTATCTGAATATGCTGTTTGTCACCATTGCTGAGATTCGTACGCTGATTCTTGATGTCTGTGTGTGCCTAAATGAACGATTATATTTTCAGAACAACTTAAGAAACATTGGAAATGCTACAATTATTATGATTATACAAAGCCAGTGCTGCTATAATCAATAAAGTAAATCTAACTCAGAGATTAGGCTCTAAATGAGTTCAGTGATTCAGGTCAAAAAAATTTTATGTTCAGATACAACCAACACCACCAGATCACATTTTCTCTTTGATCATCTGGCTGTTATAACTCAGTCAAACTAAATCTGAAGTTAAAACGGGCGGCAGTGGCTCATTGGTTCATGTAGGTTGTCAACAAACCGGAAGGTTGGTGGTTCTATCCCCGGTTCCACCTGACCAAGTGTCGAGGTGTCCATGAGCATGGCTGACACCGCCGTCAGTGAATGAATGGGTGAATGTGAGGCAATATGTAAAGCGCTTTGGTAGCCATGGGTCTGTTGAAAGCGCTATATAAATATAGTCCATTTACCATTTTACCATTTAACTAAAGCAAGCACGGATCACCATAATGGTGACTTAAATTTGTGATTTTCTACTTCAGTGATTCTGCTTGTTATCAATCAGGTGTCTTCAATAATGCTCAATCATCACTCAATTAATCACTTAATAATCTCATTAAATTCAACACTGCTTCATTGTTACTTATAACACTCTGAGTGTGGACTCATATAAACACTGAGCGGTGTTAATTTAACACTGGGGATTTTGCTGTGCAGTATTCAGAATGCACCCTAGGGGGGTTGCGTCCAATTATAGATTTACTTCAGCTGAATCGTTCTCCGCGGAGATTCAGATTTAAAATATTGATGATCCCTTTTATCATGAGTCAAATCAAATCCAAGGATTGGTTTGTCATGAACAATTTAAATGACGCATACTTTCATATCTCCATCCTTCCTCAACACAGGAAAATCTTGAGATTTGCTTTCGGCGTGAAGCGTTTCAGTATTGGGTTTTTCTGCATGGCCCAGCATTATTCCCTTGCACTTTTACAAAGTGGATGGATGCAGCTCTGGCTCTTCTCAGACTCGTCAGAGCTCAAAACTTCCTCATTAAAAGGAAGTATGAGCTGCAGGATGGTAGTGAACCCAGAAGAGAAGACAGACATAGCACTGAAGAGTTGAGCCCTGTCCAAAGGCTCTATTCAGAAGTTACAGGCACAACTGGCAGTTAACAAAATAAAGAAATACAATCATGTAAATCTAAAATGGCCAGCACAAAAAGGCAGGCAGATATTAAAAAAAAAAGATAAAACCACAAAGGGTAAAAGCACAAACTAAATCCAAAAGGAAAATCCACAAACACTGACACAAGCACTCTTCCTCAGGCAGCGGGATTACAACATACAAACGCCAAATGAAGAAACAGTGAAACTTGACAACTAAAATACAAAGACACAGGTGCAACAGATGACCTCATTATGGCGGAAAACTAACAAAATACAGGTGTCAAAACATAAAACAACAATGCCAGAAACAGCTTTTCTTGAAACCAAGCTACCAAAACAACTCGTTTTGTACTCTCTCCTCTTTATTATGTATAATAGAAATGTTTCCACCAATTGTGGTGAGCTGCCAAAAAGTCGCAACAAATCATGATAAAAAATTGTTAAGTTATTTCGATGGTTTATCTTATGTTCTGCTGAACTCATTCTGTCTAATGAGAACAAAAATGCCTGAGACACATGGACTGAATCATTTGAGCTTTTGATTTTACATAAATCTGTTTCTCTGTAGGACGCTGTCTCATATCGATAGAAATGCCTCACAGTCTAAGGGCTCGTGCATGACTCTCTCTAACCCTGTTCTCGCTCTCTCTCTCTCTCTCTGCAACCCCTGCTTCCTTCTGCGGCTCTTTTAGACACATATAGAAACCGTAAGTACATCGACTTCCTCTTTATGCATGCTCCTTTATTTCTGGCTCTGTGTCTCTGTGTATGAGTGCCTCTGCTGAGTCTTTACATTATAACTTCTACAAAATTATTTTTCCTGTGCTATGAGACAATATGTTATTTTGAGTAATCAAACTGACAAACAAGTGATCACCATTTTTTATTCAAATGTTTTTAGCTGTTAGAAACAATGGGCACAATGAGAAAATACCAGTTTTACAGTATTTAAGTAACAATTGCTCTCACAGCCATCTGGTGTGAAATAAACCTTTACTCAAAACATTGATATGCTTTCTGTTACAACAATGATTCCCCCAGTCAAAGAAGCTCCAACGATCACGACTCAGCCCAAGTCCCACACCGCTTTCTCTTTGGATGATGTCAATCTGGCCTGTGAGGCAACTGGAAACCCGACGCCCAGGTAAGTGTAAGCTAGCTTAGAACCCACATAGCAACATTTTGACGTCCCAGATCCGGCCCACATTTGGCACATGTGGAAAGATGATCTGGTCCACATGCAGCGTGGAATGACGGCCCTTGGGTGGCTCACTCCTGTTTGCCAGATCTGGGCCACAAGCAGGCCATAGCAATGCCACATGTCAGCCAAGAGCAAAGAAATAAACCAGAACTGGACCTTATCTGAGCCACAAAATCTGTGTATATTAAATATGGAGTCATCTGAGCCTTAATAAGCCTGTAAACAGGCAGAATCACTGAAGAGAACAGAAAAAGAGACGAGCAGAAACACAAGAACTACAACTGACTTCAGCCACAGCCTTAGATGAAATCAACTGAGGATAAAAGAAGACATTAAATCTCTCAAGATCTCAGCAGAGGAGGATTAAACAACTCCACAAACAGCATTACCAGAAAAGTTTACAAGTTTTTATTGAGAATTAACAGGGGTTTAACTCGAATGCGTTTCATTTGAAGTCATCATAACACTGATTAGTGTTTCCATTAGTTGGGCTCTTATCTCTTATTATATATTTAGTCTTTTTTGGCCACTGTGACACTAGGCGCATTTCCATTACAGATTTGCGCAAAACTTTTGCGTTTTTTTCTAAATATCGCTAAAAAAACTATTACGAAATGACGGCTTTTCAATTAACCGATGTTATGTATGGGATTAATATCCTGCCATAATTCAAAACTGAAAATAAAGTTCTGAAAGGTTGAAACTAAGTGTTCGAAAACTCTAAATCTTACAAAAAAAAGTTTTGCAAGATCAAAAAATAAGATTTGCAAGCTTGCAAAATGTAAAAAAAATAAAGATATTAAAGAAACATTACAGATATCTTTCAGAGTTTCAAATTTGTCAGTGTTCTCCCAGTGTATAGTTTGTTTTCCAGATTTGAAACCTTGTAAATGGTGATCTGAAAACTGGTGTGCGAATATGTGAAAAAAAGTTTGGAAACTCTGAAAACAGAGTTTTGCAGGCTTGCAAAGTGGTAAAAAAAAAAAAATCTCTGCAAACATAATTTTGTTTTTGAGTTTTCCTTCTTCCTTCTTCTCTTTTTTACGGTGTTGCGCAATCATTTTTTCAGAGTTTCTAATTTGTCACTGTTCAGTTCTCCCAGTGTATAATTTGTTTTCCAGATTTGAAACCTTGTAAATGGTGATCTGAAAACTGGTGTGCGAGTAGGTGAAAAAAAGTTTTGATACTTTGAAAACTGAGGTTTGAAAGAGCGAAACTTATTACATTACATTACATTTGCACTCCTATTGCAGACTATTTTTTTAGAGCTGAGTTTACAACACCCACTTTGCGGAGATACGCCCACACAGTTGCGAGCTTGCGACTGATTTGTGGCAGCGTTGTCATGCAGCTCTGCTCTGAAACTCAGACTGAGTGCTTTGCTGTCTGCTGACGTACAGACCAATCACAAGTCGTATTTACTGGAAAGTTGGGATTGACCGACTGCTCCGCCAATTACAATGAATATAGTATCAAAATGATTAACATGTGCAAGCACAATTATCAATGAACTTGATTAATGTTGCAGAAATGTTTCACTATCCACAACCAAAGGCCTTTCAACGTGCATGTGCAAAATTCTAAATTGAATGAATGTGTTGCAATTTGTACAAATAGAGACAAAGTTTCAAAACTTTTTTCACACATTCGCACACCAGTTTTCAGATCACCATTTACAAGGTTTCAAACCTGGAAAAAAAACTAATACACTGGGAGAACACTGACAAATTTGAAACTCTGAAAAATTGTTTGCGCAACATCGTAAAAAAAGTGTTGCAGTTCTGAAGAAGGAAAACTCAAAAACAACATAATGTTTGCAGAGATATCTTAATTTTTTTTACATTTTGCAAGCTTGCAAATCTTATTTTTCGATCTTGCAAAACTTTTTTTTGTAAGATTTTGAGTTTTCAAACACTTAGTTTCAACCTTTCAGAAATTTATTTTCAGTTTTGAATCATGGAAGGATATTAATCCCATACGTTATGCGACTAAAACGTAATTTTTCCTCCTGCGATAAGTTCCAGAAATCATGGCAACGGTCGTTGGTAGGTTTATATATATCAGAGCCACCGCACTAGACATTATTATTATTAATGGAAAGAGACTTGGCGTGTTATCCAAGCATTAATGGCAAGTAAAGACCCTTATACTGTGAACGGCTCATATGAGGAGTTTATCTGTGTTTCTCCCTCATTTCTGCTTCGAGGTCTTGATTGTGGCATTTCTTTGAAGTTTAGAATTTAGTATTCCTGTAATTATTTTTTCTTTTATGAATTTAATAAAGAACTCTGTCTCGTATTCTGTCCAAACACACCGCGCCCTCTAAGTCAGGCGACTGTTAATGCGCAAAAACTGTTTCCATTGCAATTAGGCAAAATATTCCTTATTCGAATTGCCTGAAAAATCACCTCATGCGAGCGTAAAAACATTTTTTTGCGATAAACGAGAGTTTTTGCGAAATTGACGTGTTTCCATTGTGCGCATTTTCAATTCGCGCAATTTGAAGGGTAATGAAAAAACGCGGCTAGTGTGTGTCAAACACATTTGCAGCAACAAAGAAAGCTAAAGTGAAACAAGATCAGGTGATGATGTTTATCTGTTGATGGTTTTATAATCATCATGAAACAAACTGATTCACTGACGTCTTTTAAATCTAACAATTGTGTTTTAACATTAATATAGTCACTTCACAAACCCTGTGTTACTGCAGCATGAGATCCAGCAGTATTATAACAATCAGTAAGAAGATTTTAACAAACATGAGACCCTAAGAGTTAATCTACACTGACATATTGATATCAACAAACAGCACATGAATCTCAACAATCTGTCTGTGTCAGCATTGTCACGGGACAATACAGAGGAATGGGAGGATCCAAATATAGCAATATTATAATCATGGCAATCCAATTCGTCGTCATCCATGCAAAGTTCAAAATCCAAGAAATTAGAATCATAGTCATCCATGCAAGGGTCGAAATCCATTTTAATCAGTCCAATAACAAATACACAAAATAAACAAGAAACAAAACAAGAACAGACTTGTAACAGACCTCAGAAGTGTAGCGTGACATACAACAATGACTCCGTGACATGAATTGAAACAGACAGGGTATTTATACACGGAGCGGACAGATCATCGGCCGGCCGGGACAGAGCAGATAGTCCATCGGGCGGCCACGGCGGAGACGACCCCTCGGGCGGCCATAGCGGAGACGACCCCTCGGGCGGCCATAGCGGAGACGACCCCTCGGGCGGCCACGGCGGAGACGACCCCTCGGGTGACCATAGCGGAGACGACCCCTCGGGTGACCATAGCGGAGACGACCCCTCGGATGACCACAGAACAGGAACAGGCACCCGCTCAGGAACAGACACCGGCTGCTCAGGAACAGGAACAGACAGACACCTGCTCAGGAACAGGAACAGACACCAGCTCAGGGACAGAAACCGATACAGGCTCGGCGGCGGCCATCTTGTCCGGAGACTCTGGATCGGCAGACTTGACGTGAACGGTCTCTGGATCGGCAGACGTGACGTGAACTGTCTCTGGCTGTGCAGACGTGACGTGGGCAGTCTCTGGCTGTGCAGACGTGACGTGGACAGTCTCTGGCTGTGCAGACGTGACGTGGGCAGTCTCTGGCTGTGCAGACGTGACGTGGACAGTCTCTGGCTGTGCAGACGTGACGTGGGCAGTCTCTGGCTGTGCAGACGTGACGTGGGCAGACGTGACGTGGGCAGTCTCTGGCTGTGCAGACGTGACGTGGGCAGTCTCTGGCTGTGCAGACGTGACGTGGGCAGTCTCTGGCTGTGCAGACGTAACGTGGGCAGTCTCTGGCTGTGCAGACGTGACGTGGGCAGTCTCTGGCTGTGCAGACGTGACGTGGACAGTCTCTGGCTGTGCAGACGTGACGTGGACAGTCTCTGGCTGTGCAGACGTGACGTGGGCAGTCTCTGGCTGTGCAGACGTTTGCTGGTTTGAAAATTATCTATCAGGTAGAACACAAAGCGTACAAGTAGATGGTCTCACCTCCAGCACTCTTGGTATATCCAAGGGTGTGCCCCAGGGGTCAGTGCTGGGACCACTCCTATTTATTTTATACATCAACATTCTTGATCGAAATGTCTCCAACGCAAATTTTCATTTCTATGCCGATGATACTGTGATATACTGCTCTGCTGCCACTCCAAAGCAAGCTCTTTGTCAGCTACAACTTGCTTTTGATACTGTACAATTTACCTTGTTTGACTTAAAACTTGTTTTGAATGACGACAAAACTAAACTTATGTTGTTTTCCAATGCGAAATCTAAGCTACAAAACCTTCCATCCATTACGACTTCTCAGGGCTTCGAGATTGAGACTGTATCCCAATACAAATACCTTGGTATTCTAATTGATGAGTCTCTCTCTTTTAAACCTCACATCCAGCAGTTGGTGAAAAAACTGAAGTTAAGACTGGGTTTTTATTTTAGAAACAAGTCATGTTTCTCCTTTGAGGCAAAAAGAAGGCTTGTTGCTGCCACTTTCATGTCAGTGCTTGACTACGGTGATGTTATATACATGCATGCATCCATTCAATGCTTGAAATTGTTGGATACTGTTTACCATGGAGCCCTTAGGTTCATCACAAACTTTAGAGCACTTACCCATCATTGCTCTCTGTATGATCGTGTTGGTTGGTCGGCATTGTCCACCCGTAGGCATAATCACTGGCATATTCTTATTTATAAAGGTATTCTTGGTCTGCTTCCCCCATACCTTCAATCTTATATTAAAAAGAAAGGCACAGGACGATATTGTCTTCGTTCTGAGGACTTATTGTTGTTGTCCGTCCCTCATGTCCGGACTGAAATGGGAAAAGGGTCGTTTATGTATGCGGCCCCCAGCGCATGGAATCAACTGCAAAATGTCTTAAATCTTCAGGAACCAGTTTCACTGGCTGCTTTTAAATTACTTTTAAATGATATAGAGGCTACACATACTGGCTGTAGTTGTTATGATTAATTATTTAGATGATCCTTGCTTCTATGTTTTATGTTTATGCTATATGTTATCTATGTTATTATATGTTATATATATATGTTTTTTATGTCTGCAACTTTGTTATTTGTGCTGCTGCCTGTCTTGGCCAGGACACTCTTGGAAAAGAGATTTTTAATCTCAACGAGTTTTCTTCTGGTTAAATAAAGGTATATATGAATATATATAGACGTGACGTGGACAGTCTCTGGCTGTGCTGTGCAGACGTGACGTGGGCAGTCTCTGGCTGTGCAGACGTGACTTGGGCAGTCTCTGGCTGTGCAGACGTGACATGGGCAGTCTCTGGCTGTGCAGACGTGACGTGGGCAGTCTCTGGCTGTGCTGTGCAGACGTGACGTGCACAGTCTCTGGCTGTGCTGTGCAGACGTGACGTGGGCAGTCTCTGGCTGTGCAGACGTGACTTGGGCAGTCTCTGGCTGTGCAGACGTGACGTGGGCAGTCTCTGGCTGTGCAGACGTGACGTGGGCAGTCTCTGGCTGTGCAGACGTGACGTGGACAGTCTCTGGCTGTGCAGACGTGACGTGGACAGTCTCTGGCTGTGCAGACGTGACGTGGACAGTCTCTGGCTGTGCAGACGTGACGTGGACAGTCTCTGGCTGTGCAGACGTGACGTGGACAGTGCAGACGTGACGTGAACAGTCTCTGGGTCGGCAGACGTGACCTGAACAGTCTCTGGATCGGCAGACGTGACCTGAACAGTCTCTGGATCGGCAGACGTGACCTGAACAGTCTCTGGATCGGCAGACCTACTGTGTCTCCTCCAAGCATGCAGTACTGCTACAGCATAAAAGAGGAAGACAGCCCTCCTTGCCGTGGCAGGACTGATGGTGGGTATCTCCGGGACGATCTCTGGGATGACAGCAGACTGCACGGGGACAACCACCGGAACGACAGCGGCCTGCACGGGGACGAGCTCCGGGACGACAGCGGCCTGCACGGGGACGAGCTCCGGGACGACAGCGGCCTGCACGGGGACGAGCTCCGGGATGACAGCGGGCTGCATGGGGACAACCTCCGGTACCACAGCGGCCTGTACAGAGACGACCTCCCGGACGTTAGAGAGAGGGGAAGTCTTCCTCCTCCTCCGTCGTTTCTTATGGCGAGGTGCAGGCTCTGGGCTGGACAAGGACCCGTGGCGAAGGGTGCTCTGGGCTGAGCATCACCGGCCCATGGTCGAAGAAAGACCGGAGTGGAGAGTGGGTCCAGGGATCACCTCTAGTACTTCCTCCCCTGCGGGCTCCACGAGTCCCTGAAATTCTGTCTAGACGGTTTCCTCTAAAAGACTCTCTGTCATCAATGGAAAGGGGTTTAGGGGATTTGAACGCCATGGCCTCCTCATCTTGGCGGGCCCATAAAGCAAAGCCCTGCAAAATATTCATACTACTGGATTCATTTGTTGACGGAGTCATTCTGTCACGGGACAATACAGAGGAATGAGAGGATCCAAATATAGCAATATTATAATCAGGGCAATCCAATTCGTCGTCATCCATGCAAAGGTCAAAATCCAAGTAATCAGAATCATAGTCATCCATGCAAGGGTCGAAATCCATTTTAATCAGTCCAATAACAAATACACAAAATAAACAAGAAACAAAACAAGAACAGACTTGTAACAGACCTCAGAAGTGTAGCGTGACATACGACAATGACTGGACTGAACTGAAACAGACAGGGTATTTATACACAGACACTAACAATGTGATAAGGAACAGCTGAGTGCAATCACGAGTGATAGGAACAAACAAAGTATTATGGGAATTGCGGTTCCAGAGTGAATGGTGACAGGAAGGGAAAGAGACCTCTAGTGGACACCCAGGGGAAACACAAACCAGACACTGTGACAAGCATAGGTTAAGTTTTTGTGCTCATGTTTGTTAAAAGATTTTAACTGATTGTTATAATATTGCTGGATTTTATGCTGCAGTAACACAGGGTTTATAATATGAATGTATTAATGGAACAACATAATTGTTAGATTAAAAGAAAATCAGGCTATTTCATGAACAATATAAATGATATATAAAGTCATCCATCAGCAGGTATCAACCATTACCCGGATCTTATTTTCACTTTAGCTTTCATTGCTGCTGCAAATGTGTTTGACAAACACACTGTCACAGCAGCCAAAAAAGACGAAATATAAATTTAAAGTTAAAAGACTAACTAATGGACACACTAATCACTGTTATGGTGACTTCAAATGAAACACATTAGAGTTAAATCCCTGTTAATTCTCAATAAAAACTTTTGTAGACATCTAACATAAATAAAGTCAATCTGGTCAGTAATAAGTGAAGCTGGTAATGCTGTTTGTGGAGTTGTTTAATCCTCCTCTACTGAGATCTTGAGAGATTCTCAATCTTTTATCTTCAGCTGATTTCATCTAAGAAGTCAGTTGTAGTTCTTGTGTTTCTGCTCGTCTCTTTTTCTGTTCTCTTCTTTCCTTCAGTGATTCTGCTTGTTAACAGGCTTATTAAGGCTCAGATGACTCCATATTTAATATACACAGATTTTGTGGCTCAGATAAGGTCCAGTTCTGGTTTATTTCTTTGCTCTTGGCTGACATGTGGCATTGCTATGGCCTGCTTGTGGCCCAGATCTGGCAAACAGGAGTGAGCCACCCAGTGTGGTTAGCTTTGGTAATATTTGTGTATGAGTAATCCTTGGTGTGTTGGTCCATACAGTCACTGATAGATAGGTGGAGTGACAGCAGCTTATCCTAAACCTGACACCACCAAATTAGGAATCAAGCATAAGTAAACTTTTGAACGAGGTCATATGTGTAAATTCAGCTAGTATTTTGACATGTGACTATATGGAAACATTTATTGTAGCTTATTCAGGGCAGTAGATTTTGCATGTAAACTTTTGACCAGCACTGTATATATTCCTTTGTTTTTTATCTCTCCATCTGTCTATCTTTATCTGCTGTATTTTTAAGATGGTCTTTCTGTTCTTTTCTCCCACGGAAAGTTTCCGTTGGGTCAAAGATGGACAGCAGTTTGGGGAGGTTCTGCTGAAGTCTGGAAGCCTGACCGCGGGTCTAGATGAGGAGCTGAGATCGTATCAGGGCTCGTACCGCTGCTATGTGGCGAACGAGCTGGGGACGGCCGTCTCAGACCTGGTGCACCTGATCACAGAGTGTGAGTCTGTTCTGAAGCACCGTCTCACTGGCTCAGTGTTTGGAAAAACTTAGTGCTCTTAATATTTGTTACTATCTCTGGGGTATGCTTTACTGTGCATTATATGCAACGTTTCTGTATGCAGGCTACCTGGTGACCTATCCTCATTTCCCATGTGTCAAATGTGCAGCACTCTGCTTTCAGTCACTGATCTGTGTGTTTTAAAAGCATAAACCTAAAATTTCATACACTAAATCAAGCACAACAGACTTTATAACAATATACTATAACAACAAACATTAAATACATACTAAGACTCAACAGTAAACAAGTCAACAGCATAGCTCAGAATGGATCGGCATGTGTGCGATCACCGATTCAAACCTACTGTGTGTGTGGACAAATACAATGTCCGAACAAGCAATTCCTGCTTGAGTGTTGGAATGAACTGTGACGATCACTGTTCTGTCAGGACCACTATCGTCAAAGATGATTGACAATAAGCATACAGTTTGGATAGGCATTGGTATGAAATTGTTCTGGGCAAGAACTCCCTACACATCCATGCAGCCTTGCATTGATAATAGATAACTCCCTTAGGGTAAACAGAACAGAACCAACATAAATGTGTTGCAAATATCAATAATGTTCAATAATTTTATGTCAACATAATTGGAGATAAGTGAGTCTGATTCAAAGAGGAATATCAGAAGGCTAAGTCCTGAATGGACAATAGGAGCTGGGGATAGAGGAGGGTAATTAGCTCCTGATCAACATGATAAAGCTGCTGAATAATACCAAATGGACCTTATATAGGGATGCTTATATAGGGATGCTAGGCGTCATATTCTGATAGGTAGATGTGGATCAGCTGAGAGTCAGGTGATGCGAGCAGTCTATTTATTTACACAAAGTTTGATTTTACGCGATCAATCTGTTTTGCAGTCCCTGACTCTGTTGTTTTCGGTTGCAAATAGCTGTTCACAGGCTTGCAATGCTTTTGGCCGCATTTGTGCGCAAAAACCGTGCCAAAAGTGTAAGCGCGGAAAAATGGAAGTCAGAAGAATACAGATCCTATTTATTTTGCATTAGCATGAAGCTGCAGTTTCACAATACATGTATTACACTTACCAATAACAGTAAAATGCTGCAAATATTTTTTTCTTACACTTGATATGCGATTTACACGCTTACAAATCTTCTCTTGCACACGCAAATTTAATTTAGGCTTGCAATCTTATATACACTTTCACAAATCTTACCCTGCGCACGCGATTCTTTTAGGCATCATTTTACCTTCATATACATTCATCTTCATTACGGTAGCGAATATCAGATCAGCCAACGGACGAGACACTTTAGAATTTATATTACAAATGTCAATGATTATTCTGAAATCTAAATACAGATTTATACTTTGTAAGGCATATATTCTATATATAGCCTTTCCTGCCAGAAAAGACCATCAACATTACAGATAACACAAGTGAAGTGTACGTTAATTGGCCGAATGCATGCGAAACACCAGCACCCACCATTTTTAAAAAGCTGTGCAAATAAACAGTTTATAGCCTATATGTTTACTCCACAAACATGGAAAACAGCGATAGATGGATCGACACCAAAGTCGAGTCGCACTTCTCAATTCTTTACACTAAGGAGGTAATCCAACGCAACTTGGAAGAGACCAAGCAATTATGTATTTCTGCTCCGCTAGCAACTCTGGGCATTAACCACACTGCAAAAGCTATCATTATTTTTTGTACCCCGTTCACTTTCTTTTTTTCATTTGTTTTTTGCCCTAAGCGCAATGACGCTATACATTTCCTTTGTTTAATAACGCATTAAATAGGATTATTAAACCGATTTAATGAAGACAGAGAATGAAAGCGCTGTGTGCACAGGCTTTAGTTTAGTTTAGTTCTCGGGGGACCGAAGTGGTGGCTATAACTTATAGTTATAATATACAGTTCCTATAACTACCCAGTGCGAAAGCCCCTATTACAACTCTAAGTTACTATAATGCACCTTTTTAGGGGCTGATAGGTACAAAGATGTCCCTATAAAGGCCCGATATACTCCATGTTGCTATGATCAGATGATTTTCTTATGCTTTATGAAAAAATGCTTGCTATTTCTCTATTTTGTTGTGTTTATTTTGTTATTGAGAATGTTCAACAGTTTACCCCTAAACAAAGAACGAAAAAAAGTTGCTGTGAGTATATCATGGCTTTAAGAGTTCTGCCCGATTGACAAGCTGTTGTACCCCTAACAGTGCAAGTAAAAGTTTAGCACCTTTTCTTTTTTCTGACAGTGTATAACACATTGTTTCAAAGCAGCTTTGAAAATCATGATGTTAATGTTTATAATATCTTAATATCTTCATGCCTTATTGTTGCATTTAGCAGATTAGAGCTGAGTGATCATTTTGAGTGTTTAACTGTGTGATGATACAAGCAATCAAGCATTTGAGATTTGCTATACACTGTACTGGGGTATATTGTACTGTAGCAAAATCCCCAGAGTTAAATTAACTCTGCTCAGAGAACATTTGGTCCCTCTCTACAGAGTTAAAATAACTCTGAATCAGAGTTAAAGTTAATGAGATACTTAAGTGATTAATTAAGTGACGATTGGGGATTAGTGATGAACACCTGCTGTCAACAAGCATAATCACTGAAGGAAAGAGAAACAACAAGAACAGATAAGAGAGAAACACAAGAACTAAAACCAAAGCCTTATATGAAATCAAATAAAGACAAAAGAAATCTCTCAATTTCTCAGCAGAAGAGGATTAAACTTCACAAACAGCATTACCAGCTTCACTTATTAATAACCAGATTGACTTTATTTGTGTCATACGTCTACAGAAGGTCTTTTTGAGAATTAACAGAGGTTTAGATGTTGACGATTTATTGAAAATGTCTGATCACCATGGTGATCAGTGTTAGTTTAGCTTTAGTTGGGCAGTTTGACTTGGCTTTTTTTGGTGAGTTTGTGGTTTTTGTAACAAATTTTACCTAAACATGTAATTTGTTACAAATTAAGACAGAAACAAAGCTGATCAGGTGATATAGTTTTCAACAACAAAAAGTAGAATGCACTTATCTCATCACTGTCCAAAAGTGGTTAATAGATTATATTCACTAACAAAACTCTTGCCACAGACCAGACATTCTGAATTTGGATTTTTAAAATGCATTAAGGATAATTTTTTTTAAAGACAGACATCAAGAATCAGCATTTGAATCTCAACAATGTTGACATGATTCATGCTGCAATGCATGCTGGGAGCCACAATAGTATAAAACTCATGGCTCCTAGGATGCATTGCAGCTAGGGCTGTAATGATACGCGATATAAAATCGAAATCGCGATACTCAGGTCCACGACCCTGTATCGCGATGTGAGAAGGCAGAATCGCGATCACACCCCTTCCAACTCCCAGAGTTATCCTTCCTGTCCTACCACATCTTTAAATTACTATTAGTATTATTTGAAACTAACATTATAAAATACGTAGACCAACACCACAAAACTAGTTGAGGATAAATTATTAAAAATTAGGCAATTTCAGCATTATGGACGTGAAATTTGCAGCCAAAACTTGAAATATAAATTCTCAGTCAGAAAGTGCATTAAATTAATCCTCAATTGACCGGCAACACGTCCAACATGCAGATGCATATCTTACGGCACCATCCCGAAATCAATTTAGTTGGAGTACAGAACACAACCCAAAAGCAGCAGCCTACACTGCCTAGTATAGTTTAATAATTTGCAGTTATTATTGTTCTTTGCTGTTTCGATTATACAGGTTTTTCCTAATGTTATTCAATAAAAATACCGGTATTTTTTTCTTCTCTCAAAATCTCTTTTTTTCACCACAAGCCCCGCCCCCTCAAGCTCCGCCCCCGTGATAGAATCGCGATACGAATCGAATCGCGGGTCAAAAATCGTGATACGAATCAAATCGTGGGTTTGGTGTATCGTTACAGCCCTAATTGCAGCATGTCACCACAGTGGCGGATGCAGAACGTGACAGATGGGTGGGCCTGGATTAAGTCGAGGTGGGCCTGAATCTAGGGTTTCTAGATTTTGTATTAGCTACTAGATAGTTATGGCGATGAGAAATAAAAACCGCACTGTACAGCTATGATCAGCTGTTTGGCCGAGCTTTCGAAGTTGTTTCGGAAACTGAATACGGCCGAAGCTGAACGGTTGGTTTTTGTCACATCACATGACATGCTTGCGTTGCGGCACTCTCTGAAAAGTTGAGATGTTTTCATCTCGTCGCGGCATAGAAAAACGAGCGCGCTGCAGCCTGCACCACTTGCGTATGGCAAGCAAAAGTATTCATAAACGCCTGGTCAGGCGTCTGATTGCAAACTGACCCGTCAAAAGCAAGCGGGACGCGCGATTTGTCATAAAAGCGCGCGTTCTTAACGTGCACTTTGTGGTCACGGAAAACGCGCGTCAGAATCTCGTGGTTTTTGCATAAAAAAATAATAAAAAATAACGTATGAAACCTTATTGTAAAGTGTTACCAGAATTACAACTGGAAAATTTGCGAGATGTGTCTCGAACGAAGCGATTAGGGGTCTGATTAGTTGCTGAAATAAAAAACCAAGGTGAAACCGAGAGTTGTTTTTCTTTTCTTGTTACAAAAACACTTCTGATGCATAAAACACCTGCAGACAGAAACAATCTCATTTAAATAGCAGATCACACGTCCAGGACGCACGTTTTGATGCAAAAACCGCGTGTTTCTGACGCGTGTTTTCCGTGACCACAAAGCGCACATTAAGAACGCACGCTTTTAATGCAAATCGTGCGTCCCTTGGCTGTCGAAACGCACGCGTTTGACGAGTCAATCAGACGCCTGACCACGTCTTTTCCATTATGAATGGAAATAACATTTATACATTTGTAACATTTGTAGGCCTACATTTGAAATAACAAACTTGAGCGCGCAAAAGACGCGATATGTGAACGGGCCCTTAGTCTTTGTCTTTCCAAGA